TGGTTAAAGCGTATTATCAAATTCCCACGGCTGCATACGACATTACTTAAACCGTTATCGTTGCTCCTTCCGGTCTCTACTGGTTTTTGAGCATGCCTTTCGGCTAAAGAAATCATGCAAGAACTTCGTAGTGGATCAGAGACGAAGCCTTTCCGGGCCTCAACTTTGTACACGAACATAACTGCTTGATCGTAGGTCCGGGCAGAGGATTTCACATCCAGCACCTAAACACTGTCTTTCAACGACAGTAAAACACGGTAGATTGGGACAAACCGCCCACCATCCACATACAAACGGGTTGGTAGGACTATTTCGTTGACGGTTGGAATTTTCACAGTGTACTATCGCTGTTCCATTCGTTTCACTTGCTATCTGCAATGCAGTGGATGCTGAAATTATATACGCCACAGCGCAACTCTTTTGTGGAAGGACACTCTGACTTCCAGGAGAGTTCATGGAACTTTCATCTTCTTTGATAAATGCGGATGTAAAGTCTTACTCGAGCAAGCTGACAAACGGCATGAGTTCAGTTGAATCTGTTTTCACTCGTTCAACCTGCCTCATGACATAGTACACACATTTTGAGCGTCGAGACTCGTTACGATGACCTATCGTAGTGGCATATGGAGGACCTTTCAAAGTCCTTCAGTGAGAACCTAAGTACTAGATCATCTATGAGAACGGAACTAATCATAACATCAGCGTTGATCGGCTTAAAGCCGCGTACTTGGAAGGAAACCCGCATAATGCTGATTTTCCTTCAGTACAATCAAACGATACAAACCCCAAAATTACGATGCCACACCTGATAACCAACAGTCACGAAAAAACTTCAGTGGTATCTAATAATCGGCCTATAGCAACGCGTCCTGGAAGGAGAGCAAGGTTCCCAGAACATCTGAATATTTACTGCACTTAGGACATAACATAACGTTTTGTTTCGTCTCGATTTATTTTGTATCTTTATGTCAAAAACCTAAAACCAAACATTTTCTTACTAATATGCTCATGTATGTGTATGTATTTGTTTCTCCAAAAAACAGTGCGAAAATTGTTTCTGTGCGATTGAATTTTATCAGTATGTGTGTATGCAGTTTTATTTTTTTAAATACTATATTTTGTGTTCTTACGTACGTACGAGTGTATTTCAACATGCGTTTGCAATTTGTTTTTTATTTTTCAGGATGGCTGTAAACGATATAAACTGACGAAAAATGCGATGGATAGAAAGTTTCATCGTACCTTTTTTCATCGCTTTTGTGTACCAAATGGCCCCTTATATTAGGGAAAGACGACCAGGTGCTGCTGAAAATAGCAAGCTAACAGAAGGGTGTTTACCAACGGCTAGTTCGTTTGGTTCAAACTTCTATCTAGCCTCCTCTTAAGGTCCTCAATACCCCACTAGAGGAGGATGAGTTGTAGCGGCAAATAAATCCCCGGGATAAATAGTTCAACAAATCCTCGACGATTGGTGTTGGCGTCATTAGTTTTACTGGAGACAACTATCTGAAAGCTCTCGGTCACGCACCAGATCACAAGTGGGTACGTCGTGCTACGCATCGTTTACAGCCGTAAACCATTTTAGAATAAACGCTTCCCGATATATCGATATTTTTTCAAATATACCTTACAACTTCTTCGTTTCTGATTCCTGACTTGACTGGGCTGGTATACATCAATTATAAAGGTGGTACTGAAGAAAGCATTGTCAAACTCCGAATACTTGTGGCATCATCACCACCTACGACAAAATATGTTACTGTGCGTTCACGAAATTTGTAGAACGGAGCACAATATGTTTAGCGGGATTACAACACTGCATTATACAGACCAGAAGACATAGGCATTGTTTGCACGCTTAATATACTCTCTATAATCCCATAGTTATGTATGACTTGGTTTGCATTGAGTGAAGGTATCGAAAGTCCAATAGCTTAGTACAGAGATATACATAAACACCAAAGCTTCGAAATCGGAGGAAATAGAGTAGGTTATAGGGTTTATCCGGTTGAATTTACAACAGGTAAACGAGAAATATATGTAAACATACGATAAAAATGGTTTTCACTTACGTGAATAGTCGATACAGATTCTCTGACGACGTTTGTGAGTAGTTTGCGCCGAAATTCGATACGAAACGCTACCAAAAAGGTCACGGATCGTAGATAATAGTCATGAAAATCCTCCAGGAACTTGGGCCTTTTGAATCTAATGCTTTTCAGAGATGATGAAATTTCTAAATATCGGACATAACTATACTCAGAAACCTGAACCACATTTGTTTTGGTGTGGTGAGAAATGAGCAAATATAAACGACCTATAAGAAGTGTGTTTACTTGAAACGGACTGGACTAGAATGGTCCCCTACTTTACGTCGAAGTCACATCGCGCGTTAGTACATATGTCTAGGATAGCTGACCTAAAAATAGTGGCCAGAAGTGTCGATTAAAACCGAAATGATTAGCGAAAATATCCGATACCTATGAGAATATCTCCCAAAAAAATTATTTGTCGCCATAGTAGACTGCCTTTCAACAAGAAAAGTGAGGTGATATAATTGAACGGGTAAAGTGATAACTTGGAAGCTTCATGACAAACACAGATTTCTTTCCTCTCTTCAGTCCATATAAAACGCCATTTGTAAATCCTTTAAAAACCATCTAGTTTAAGACACTGTTCTGCACGTTTACCGAGGTTATACGGATTACCGAAGGTACACAAGCCGAATATCCCAAAGAGACCAATTTTTGGCATACATAACTCTTCTGATCATACTCCAGCAAAGTGGTTCGTGACCAATTTAAACCCCCTCTATAGACACCTGGTGAAGCATAGCATTAAGGATATACTCCAGTTTGCCGATAACCTCAATAGCGTAAACAACAAATGACAAGTAATGATGTCCTTAGACGCAATATCATTGTCTACAAATGTCAAACTCAGGGAAACTATCAGATATATCTGTGAAAAAAATTAGGGAACAAGAAATAGAGACTACAAATCCTATGGGCAACACGGAGGAATCGTTACTAGTGTGCATCATGGACGTGAACTTCAAATTCAGTTGTGAAATATATAGACAAATAGGTGGTGTCGTGATTGATTTACCACTAGCTGACATTCTCCCCACTAAGCTGGAAAAAGGACTACTGGACAGGATGTCGGCAGGTTTTTCTCATACTGTCGATACAATGAAGATAAGCTCATCGTTTTTAACGACGGATAGAGACATTCAAACGATTAAGTGACATTCAACCGTCTATTAAATTCTGATGTCGATAAGAAAATAGAGGTAGAAAAACGTTTCTAGATGTTTCACCTACATGGAGAGTAGGTGGGTGCGTAACAAAAACCTTAAACGAGAAAAATACTTGCACTGGCCAATATACAATTGTACTTAGTTTTGTTCCCCGACAATATAAAAACCTGATTAAGACACTTCATTATGGAATCAAGACCATAGTTTTACTAGATGTGGTTAATAAAAACTAAGGCGTTTTGTGCCAGTCTGAAAGAAAAAGAATATCCTGAAAAATTTATAGACAAGCATTTAGTTGCAAAAAGTGAGCATATGGAAAGCCGGATCGTGAGCAAAACATCTTACAATTTAGAGGCGATGCACCCAGCGAAATGCTAATGTTAAAGTTGCACAGAGCAATCCAAAGAACTCGTAATGCAAGTAAACTACAGCTTATCTTTCTCACACGTCCGATGGTTACTCCGAGATTGAGAGATAACATTCTTATCACTGTGAACAGTTGGACCGTGTCATTTAAACTTGAACGATCATATCATATTAGACTTCTGAGCTCCCCCATGACGTTCGATACAGGAGATTATGAACTGTTATATTTGTGACGGTAATAACTGGAACTCGGAATTGGTTTAGGTTTCTTAAGAATGTTTAACTGTCATAGTTTGTTTGTTTTGTAAGACCGATAAGCATAGTTTTCCAAACCTCTTTCTCTTCCTTATTCAGTATTATTATCAACAGTCACTGTTTATCAACGACTTGCCAAATGTTCAGTCCTCTCAATCTTTCAGATGGTTCGAAGGCACAGGTCCGACAGATACCTCTATCACAGAAAACGACTTGAACACAAAGTATGGTCAGTTTACTAGTAATGTAATTCCCACAAATACTAATGTGTGTAACGTTAATGGCATAAAGCAGTGATGCCTACCGCGCCATAGGTCACTGTTCACAACTAATATCTGATCACTTTATTTCTGAGGGGACCACTACATTCAACTTATCAGGTTGTATCGCCCCCCATAACTCAGACGCAGAACCGAACGAGGGCGGCATTTTATTATTCTTCCCAACAAACCTGGAACACACAAACTATCGGAGGAGAATAATCTAACGATGAATAACGGCAATTACATTAGATCCTTTTACTTAAAGGAGAGATCGTCATCTAGCAACCAATTCAAAGAAGAACAACGACCACAAATTTACTTGTAATTAAGTGGAGACCCTACTTAGCTACTCTGGCATCGTCAGGCCTGCAACAGATGCAGTAGTAAATATGTTGAATCATATCTTGTGCTTTTTTCGTCGCCTTAACAAGCAGCTTATATGACTTAGCACGAAATTATACCAAGAAGTTAGTTCTTTAGAGAAGACATAAGACAGCTCTCACGACGACTGCATGTCAACGTCTCCATCATTAGAATCTGTAAGTTGTAAAATTTCCGATCGAGAGCGATAGTCACAGCATCTCTCGCCGAACGTATATAAAGAAGGCTCAGCTTTTGCTCCAGTTCCTCAAGTACTGCGAGAATTTATTTCAGATGCTATTTCTCCACATATCATTATTTACCAGTGGTTTTACCATTTAGGTTCGAAAGGAATAAAACAAGAACAATACTCCTACACAATAAGGTAATCCATCTTACCGCTCACAGTCGAATACTGAAGAACAAACTGTTAGCTATTTGTTTCCACCAAAATTTTAAGGTTTTGAAGTACAACCAAATTATTTTCAGTAATGGTCTAAAAACAGAACAATGCTATAAAAAGAATACGAAATTACACTTGAAAATAATAAAATGTTGCTGCTTAGTAAAAATTGCAGTCCAAACATTACTATTTTGTTAAGGTGTACTTCGAATGAAGCATTTGTACACGTATTCTGTCAAACGTCACGTCAATATTTTAAAATGTCTTCTGAGACTTCGAAAGAGGTGACAGTCAACAAAGTGGGATGTTGGTGCGCTAAAAATAGCACTTGATGATGCAGCTAAAGAGGTAACACAGGTTTTAAGCAATATTTCGTAGTTATTCATGAAAAAGCATGGTTTACTCGAGACACACAAGCTTTTCGATGGACGACTAATATTATGTACTATATCTGTCCTAATAGCTGGCTTCGGAGTCTTATTCGATTACTTGTACCCACATCCTCATTCCCGAGCAGTACTTATAGTTTGTGTTACACTTTACTTCCTCCTGTCTGCTATAATTACACTGTATGTAATGTATATAGAGAAGAATGTCTTCTTTACTGGACTCAAAGAAGATAAGACGGGATTAGATCCAGCCGACTCATGGACAGTATGCTCATATATGAACAAGTAATATCATTATAAATTCTCGATTTTGCCCATAGATATGATCCCATATATCATTTAAGCTTAACGGTATGCGACGGCATTACTAAAAAGGTCAAAACGCTTTCCGTCAAAAAGTCCGCTGCGGAGTTCTTCAACATAAAAGGCGAACTACAGAGAAGTATATATGATGGGTTTTTGCAGAACTTGGTATCTGACTTGTATAGTGATAAGAAAAGTAATTAATCAATAGAATCTCTGTTAACTATTTGTATAATTTCATTTTCTCACTGTTGTATGTTGTGTTCAAAGTCAGATTTATGTGCTGTAAAAACCATACGTTCATACTCTTACAGTTTTGTGTATTCTAACATAATTTAACACGAGCATTCATAGTACTTCGTCTCAACTTTAGGCACTTTTTATGTTAATGAATATGTAAACAGTCTATGAATCGATCACAATGGCGTCGGTGTATACACTCTCTGTCTTCCCTTAAACTAAGAGATGAAAATCACTTCATACCTTTCTTCCTGTACATATCCTTATATGCAATCTTTCTTTGATATATTACCACCTCTGAATTAACTACTTTTATGAATCCGGTGTCCATTTTGTTGTGTTAATGAGGTATGGCAACTTGGATCGATGCATATATGTGCCTGGTGCTACGTTGTAGCTGACTGACTATTAAATTAGGCAGGTGTTGGTTTGAGTCGTGTAAGATAAAGGTAGATGGCTTTTGTTCGTGACTCTTTACAGGTCAGCAATTGGAGGCTGCAAAATATTGAGCAGTGGTCTATACACCCACTCTTCATGTTGTTCCGGACCTATTTGCCTTTCTTAGTCTATGTCAATTGTGTATCTTTCGGATTGTATTTTTATGTTGAGATATGTAGCAGCTTAAACTGATGCATTTCCCGCAGTCTACTACAATACATTTCTTCTTTCCATTATTGTAATAGTTCAGTTCTCAGTACTTTTATAGATAGTCCCTTGAAAACGATGTGACCTATGTTTTATGACAGGATCACTAAACTGACCTTCTAGACGTCTGTAGTATTCCTAGAATAAGTCCTCAGATCTCTATCAGTAACTATGTAGCAGTTCTTGAGCCAACTATGCGTAAAGCGAGAGGTCTTGTTTGTGTGTTTAAGACCTTTAAAACTCAACGAATTGGTTAAACTATGCCGTGACTAAACCTGGGCAAAGCGTATCCTGTCCTGTCTTAGTAGGATGTACCTTTTAGGTCGGACGGGGACTATCTAGCGGTTGGTTGAACTGTATATTATGCTACTTGTTATTTTCAACTTAATTTCCTAGTCATACCGTTGTGACAGTCAGCTACAACGTGAGACCAGGCACAGATATGCATCGGTCCAAGTTGCCGTACCTCGATAATTATCAGACGCCTAACTAATACTCGTGAACTGCGAACACGAGAAAATCAAGCCGGCTTCAGACCTTTTCGTGGCTTCATCGACCCCATATTCACCATTCGTCAGGTTCTAGAACATAGGCATACTTATCAACGTCCGACAATGGTGGTCTTTCTCGACTTAAAAGCAGCATTTGACTACATAGACCGTGACATCCTGTGGCAGTGTCTGTCATTGAAAAGTGTACCTCAGAAGTACACAAACCTTGTGAAGGCTTTTTACTCGAACACTACAAGTCGAGTCAGAGCTTATGGCGAACCGTCATCTGCTTTTGCAACCTCAAGTGGTGTCCGTCATGGCTGTCCACTTTCTCCATTTTGTTTAACTTCATCATAGACCTACTGATGGAAATAATGCTAACCGGTGTTGGAGATGGTTGGAAGAATGTTATGGGCGGCCAAACCAAAACGTGGCGTCAGTGCTTGAAGTCACTGACTTCTAGTCTGAGCCATGTTGGTAGATGCAGTCTACTTGGTTGGGGTCCGCGTGACTATCGTAACCAATGGTTGGAGACTCTTGATGACATGGCTCAGAAACGATCACAATGGTGTCGGTGTGTACACTCTTTGTCTTCCCTTAAATTGTGAGATTAAAATTGCCTGATATTTTCCTTTCTATGAACTAATTCTTTCTCCCTTTAGTATATCCTTATATGCAACCTTTCTTTTACATATTACTACCATTGAAGTGACTGCTATAAATTTGGTGTTCATCTTATTGTGCTAGTGATGCATGACAACTTGGATCGATGCATATATGTGCCTGGTCCTACGTTGTAGCTGACTGACTGAACAAGATGAACACCAAATTCATAGCAGTCACTCCAATGGTAGTAATATGTAAGAGAAAGGTTGCATATAAGGATATACTAAAGGGAGAAAGAATTAGTTCAATACCTAGTGAAAACGTAGCACCTGCTTTTCCATGCTAAGTACCCTCATCAGAAAGATTGGATTTGTGTTTGGTCAATCAGCTACAACGTAGGATCAGGCACATATATGCATCGATCCAAGTTGTCATGCATCACTAGCACAATAAGATGAACACCAAATTTATAGCAGTCACTTCAATGGTAGTAATATGTAAAAGAAAGGTTGCATATAAGGATATACTAAAGGGAGAAAGAATTAGTTCATAGAAAGGAAAATATCAGGCAATTTTAGTCTCACAATTTTAGGGAAGACAAAGAGTGTACATACCGACGCCATTGTGATCGATTCTGAGCCATGTCACCAAGAGTCTCCAACCATTGGTTACGATAGTCACGCGGACCCTAACCAAGTAGACTGCATCTACCAACATGGCTCAGACTAGAAGTCAGTGACTTCAGGCACTGACGCCACGTTTTGGTTTGGCCGCCCATAACATTCTTCCAACCATCTCCAACACCGGTTAGCATTGCACGTCGTGGTAATCGGTGTTCAGGCATACGTAACACGTGGCCCAACCATCTCAGTCGATGAAGATTCACAACCTCATTAACTGATTTACCATCATTCCCTAATACTCTGCACCTAACCTCACTATTACTTACCCGGTGATCCCAGCAGACGCTAGCAATATTTCTAAGGCATCTGTGGTCAAATATTAGTAGCTCACGAGTGTCTTCCACTCTTAATGGCCATGTTTCACTGCCGTAAATTAAAACAAAACGAACTGCCTCGCAGTATACTTGTCCCTCAATTGATAGACGGATATCTCGCCTTCGCCAAAGGTGACGTAAGTTGGCAAAAGCCAAGCGAGCTTTTCGAATCCGTGCTGAGATTTCGTCAGACACTAACCCATTAGGGCTGATCAGACTTCCAAGATAAGTGAAGTTGTCAACGCGTCCGACCACTTCATTCCCTATCCTTATTTCAGGTGTTGACGCAGACCAGTCCTGAAGCAGCAGCTTGCATTTAGAGGGAGAGAAACGCATCCCAAACATCCTGGCATTGTTGCTCAGTGCTACCAAAAGGCTCTGCATTTTATCAGTGTCTTCACCAAACAGGGCTATGTAATCTGCGTATTCTAAATCGATATGTGGACCTCCTGGAAGATCAAATACCGTTGTGACATCCGTCCGACGATTGTTATAAGGGATTTTGAGTTATAATTTAAAATATGCAAACTTCTGCCGGGAAGCTATATTTTGTTAGACTGTTTTAAACTTAACAAATATGGGTTCGAGGCTAAACTACCGAAGCTGTGTTCTATCCAAAATACGCATATATTTCGGAAGAGTTAAGCAAGAATTAAAGGGTGCATTAATTAGTTCACCCTCGTTATCAGGTTAGCCTAATTACTATCATTTATCTTAATTGGATTATGAATCAATATGGATGATTTATGAAATATGAGGTTCATCAAACCAAACATTATCTATATTGTTATAACGGAGGAAATGTGTGGTCGTTAAATATTCCACTGATCGGTTGGACTGATTCGAATAATGTGAAGTAATGATAGTTATTCACAGAACCTTAGTTACTAATACAATACCCCAATTAACGAAAGTAAGCAAAATGACAAACATGATTAAAATTTATTTACAACGTCAATGACTTCTTGTAGGTTAATAACAAACCCATGAAATTAAAGTCTGACTATTAGACTTCGTTATTATCCGTTATGCATTGGGAACGACGAAACAGTATACGAAAATATCAGTGCTTTGATAAAGCATGCTGCTGTTTTAAAACCACAACAAACAAAACATTGTGTTTTGACGGAATAAACTTTATTAGTCCTTTTCACCAAGATCAAAAGTACACTTTGGCAAGAAATATGTATCAAAATACCAATATCTTTGAGAAACATCTTTCCACATCTCTTGGTCTGCAACGTCGACAGCAACTGGGGCAAATATACAACTTATTCCCAACCTAGATAAGAAAAATGTATGTATTGTATTAAAATTCCAGCAAAAACGAACCAGAAGTGTTCGGATTTACATATAATGGACGTGTAATAAACAGAGATAGAACCATTACGTCATAGTTTACAATAAAAGCAAGAAAAAACCGAAAACAACCAATAATAGTGGACGATAAATAGGAAAAAGCGACAACAGGGAAAGATATAGTATGTGCAATCATCTGAGGGAGATTGAAAATTCGTGGATCCATGGTATTTCCAATTTAGTATAGTTATTATAAGTAACTATCCAACGTTTCGTAAGTAAGATGGGAAGTCAGATTGATTTTTAAACATAATTCTTCATCTGACCCATAGAAACATTATCTTAGGTTTTCGCAAGCGCCTAACAACAGTCAATGGAACTTAGTGACTACAAAACATTTTGTACAGTCTTTAAAAGCCACTGATTTTTAGCAACCCACAGACCTAAGTTACTTACACGCAATGTCATATGACGTACGTATGTCAAATTGCATTTTTGAAGATATCAACCCTCATTTCTGATCATTTTACTCATATATCTCAAGGACTGATCAAAACTATTCAATCTATTTGAATCGTACGCAATAAAGTCATTTGTGTATTGCAGAAACTTCTGTAATCTTACTTTCAACATAGATCTAAATGTTATATTAAGGAAAACTATCGATCCTCATTTTGATATTAAGAAAATCAACTGATTAAATACTTCTACCATGACTAATGGACGAATCAGGAGTAGATAGGTCATCTGAACTGCTCCAGTCTTTCAACTCAACTTAGCTTATCTATTAGGGAGTTAATATTACTAGCTAAAGTTACCAAACCTGAGAAAATCAGAGACGGTCTTTATTTACGCTGTCATCGATAGAAGTAGACACAGGCAACGGAACGTATCTATATATTCCTATAACAGCTTGCTACTGGTCATTACACTTCAAAAGACTATCAAACACCTCTAGAGTGTGAGAACGAACAGTAATCAGGAAAGTGGCTGTATTGTACTTGATGTGTAGTAGTGAGAGTAAATGTGTTTGGTCACTGAGTGTGGACAAACAGAAAAGCAGTTTACTATTAAACATGTGATTCCTTCTCTTATTGGCTTCTACTCTGGGTCCACAGAGTGACTTATTGTAACCATCAGGAATGAAGTATTGTTTCCCGTTACTCTGGTTCTTTATTTTTGGTCAGTGAGCCATATATCTGATAAAACGTGGTCTAGTCTGTGTATAGCCGATCTTCCGAATATCCAATCTAGCGGCAATATAAACTCGATCATACGGTCACCAGTCTTATTACCGTGCTACTTCAGTAGCGTAGTATACTGCAGAAAGATATTTAAGTTCATCCGGTATATCAATTGTGTAGCTAATCTGTAAGTACCTCGCTTCACTTCATTAGGGAAATGCTGCAAATTAATGATAGTAATTCCATTAAGCTTTGTAATCTGGACAATAATTCCATTACTAAATTTGCATTAAGTAACCTTAAAACCATTCACTGAGTCTTTATACAAAGGGTTTTAAAAGAGCTCGACCAATTTTTCCTTTGTTTACTGCCATAGGGGATTTGCCAATTAAAAAGGAGTATTTTTCATACACATAGTTCCCTTTATTATCTTAAAGAGAGCAAGAACAAAGATTGGTGCAGAATAATATGAATTCATTGTATTTCGTTAGGTTCTCATCAGCTGCTTACAACCTAAAATATTTAAAATTCAACATTATTACAGATATTGACATAGTTATACATAAGAGAGCGATTAAGGCTGAATATATGTAACATGATGTAGGAAAGAATTTCGTTCGAGTTAATGAGGTCATAAAATTTGGTCTCGAATAAATAGAGTTTGAGAGAGAAAGTTCCGGAACATTGAAATAGTGATTACAACTCATGAAAATAGATTAATGGTAATAAAGAAAATATGAATTGAAATCAGTCAGTTATATATGATGTAATTTAAACTTCAGATTCAAAGAACATATTCCGAAAAGTTTAGCATCAAATGGATTGAAAGCATTCAACAGTGCCATCGCAAAGCATTTCCTTGACACAGGAAACGAAGTTGATACACGGAAGTCCTTCAACGTAATTAATAAGCAATCAAGCTACAACCTTCTGAAGCATTAGCAATCAAACGTCTAAAACCAGACCTATGTTTACTTATTTATTTATTGCGTTATTATTCCAACTCTTTCTGAAGTTTAAATTACATCATATATAACTGACTGATTTCAATTCATATTTTCTTTATTACCATTAATCTATTTTCATGAGTTGTAATCACTATTTCAATGTTCCGGAACTTTCCCTCTCAAACTCTATTTATTCGAGACCAAATTTTATGACCTCATTAACTCTAACGAATTCTTTCCTACATCATGTTACATATATTCAGCCTTAATCGCTCTCTTATGTATAACTATGTCAATATCTGTAATAATGTTGAATTTTAAATATTTTAGGTTGTAAGCAGCTGATGAGAACCTAACGAAATACAATGAATCCATATTATTCTGCACCAATCTTTGTTCTTGCTCTCTTTAAAAAGGAGTATGTCTAGAAATTAATAAACTGAATTCATGCTATCCAATTAAAAATCGAGAATGCAAATTACCTTTTTAAATGCAACCTCATTGTTTCGCATGCGACTCCGTGAAAAAATACATTGTCAGGACACAAACCGTTATAATAAGAGTACCTTCCTGAGAAAGATGGATCTCCCACACTTTTTTGATTAGGTATAGAAAGAAGTTTGGGTAACCACGTATGAAATTCTCTCAAATCATTATCGTCCTCTGCATATGTGTCAAAAAATATTCCACTAAACCTTGGAATTGCCCCGTCATCAATTTCTTTGGCTAGTAAGACGACCGCATCTTGCCATTTACTTGGAATTATCTTGACGCCTGGCTTAGCAAACCATTCTTCGGACTTCATTTTCTTCAACACCTACAATCAGTGCTAGGTTAGTAGAGGCATTTATAAAATTTAGTTAACCGAGCATAAGCTCTACACCGAAACAATATTGAGTGAGCAGTAAGAAACGCCGTTTTCAAACAGTCACCACCCCATGAACGTTCTAAGAGTCACGTGTAATCCCAATTATTCATTATTTGAGGCATGGCTGAAAGCCTCAATCAACAAGCAAAAATAATGTTTTGAATTTAAAACAGACAGTGTCAATCTTCTTATAACAATGAATAAAGGGATAAGGAAATAAATCAGTGATATTGGTTTTCCGTTAATTCGTAAAACAAAGCTGCACACAAAAACCTCGTAACACTTTTGGTTACCAGGATTATAAAATTACCCTATTAACATTGAAGGCTTCATAATGAACGATAGCACTTTTTTATTTGTTTATACTCACGATTGTAAAATAGTTTGAAATAAACTTGCATTAGAACCAATATGTTTAGTGGTGCTCATGATTTTTCATCTTATTGCTCTGGTAGCACTGAGCAACAATGCCAGGATGTTTGGGATGCGTTTCTCTCCCTCTAAATGCAAGCTGCTGCTTCAGGACTGGTCTGCGTCAACACCTGAAATAAGGATAGGGAATGAAGTGGTCGGACGCGTTGACAACTTCACTTATCTTGGAAGTCTGATCAGCCCTAATGGGTTAGTGTCTGACGAAACCTCAGCACGGATTCGAAAAGCTCGCTTGGCTTTTGCCAACTTACGTCACCTTTGGCGAAGGCGAGATATCCGTCTATCAATTGAGGGACAAGTATACTGCGAGGCAGTTCGTTTTGTTTTAATTTACGGCAGTGAAACATGGCCATTAAGAGTGGAAGACACTCGTGAGCTACTAATATTTGACCACAGATGCCTTAGAAATATTGCTGGCGTCTGCTGGATCACCGGTAAGTAATAGTGAGGTTAGGTGCAGGGTATTAGGGAATGATGGTAAATCAGTTGATGAGGTTGTGAATCTTCATCGACTGAGATGGTTGGGCCACGTGTTACGTATGCCTGAACACCGATTACCACGACGTGCAATGCTAACCGGTGTTGGAGATGGTTGGAAGAATGTTATGGGCGGCCAAACCAAAACGTGGCGTCAGTGCCTGAAGTCACTGACTTCTGATCTGAGCCATGTTGGTAGATGCAGTCTACTTGGTTAGGGTCCGCGTGACTATCGTAACCAATGGTTGGAGACTCTTGGTGACATGGCTCAGAATCGATCACAATGGCGTCGGTATGTACACTCTTTGTCTTCCCTAAAATTGTGAGACTAAAATTGCCTGATATTTTCCTTTCTATGAACTAATTCTTTCTCCCTTTAGTATATCCTTATATGCAACCTTTCTTTTACATATTACTACCATTGAAGTGACTGCTATAAATTTGGTGTTCATCTTATTGTGCTAGTGATGCATGACAACTTGGATCGATGCATATATGTGCCTGGTCCTACGTTGTAGCTGATTGACCAAACACAAATCCAATCTTTCTGATGAGGGTACTTAGCATGGAAAAGCAGGTGCTACGTTTTCACTAAGTATTGATACTTTATATGATGTCCCATTAATGTACTTGAAGTGGTATATCTCGATCGTTAGGATGTTTTATGCATCTTAAAACAAGGAAAATATTACGGCCAGTTATGTATATTTTAAGAGTAGGGGATTTGGAAATACCCTCTCTTTCTAACGACTTTTTACACACAAACATGCGCTGGTAACCGGTAATTAATTTAAAGACTTTTGGGAGACATTCTTTACGTTATGAACAGGTTTAGTTTTGGTACAGATAAGTTAGTAAATAAAGTGCCCAGCATAAACGATTGTTATTAAAATACTCAATGTAGTTTGACTAGCTGTTTACCCAACTAGCAATGTGATCAAGTCATAGGAAAACTGTTGGTACTGAATATGGTTAGACAAAATTCCATAAAAATTCATGAGTTACTGTAAACCCAAAAATTATGGGGATGATAATTTATCAGGAGATAGACAATAGTACTGTCTGCCCCATGGGAGTTGACTATTTGTTATAAACACTATTTTTCGTTTACTTAAATTATTCTATTATTTGGAAAATTTGGTAGCTTGAACCACACATATTCATACTAGATTTTTAGTTAAAGATGACAACAGAGACTCGGTTACAAAATGCTTTGAGATAAATTGGACCGTGTGAAATTCACGAGACTAACTCGGGAGGAACAGGCTGATTTTCGATCACATCATGGATGTATCGACCATATTTTCACTCTTCATCAAATTTTAGAGCATTGCTATACTTATTAGAGGCCGACAATCGTTGTGTTTCTTGATATTAGGGCTGCGTTTAATCCGTTGGACAGGAATGTACTCTGAGATTGTCTGGTGTAGAAGGGTGTGCCTGGGAAGTTAATTAATACCTTCAAGGTCCAATATACAAATACTACAGGCAGTAACGGCAGTCGACCACCTTTATGCTCGGTTTTGATTCAGCAGTGAGGCTTGACAGGGTTGGCAAACCTCGGTATTGTTTTTTAACTCTACCATCGATGACATTCTGGAAGCAGTTCCGATGGTAGTGATGTAGATCTACTACCAGGAAAAAGACTCTTCGATATGGAGTATACGGATAAAATTGTCCTGCTTTGTGATGATACACAATCTATGCAAATCGTACTTCATCAGTTGGGTATTTGCGTCCGTAAGAATGGTATGAACATTTCATCTTTTAAAGGAAAGTATTTAACCGAGGTTGGTGAGAGCATTTGCTGGCATTCACTCTTTGCGGTAAGCAGTCCGAAGTAGTTGAAAAGTTCACGAATCTGGGTGATCATGTGAGTGCCGAGAGTGGCATGACGGGTAAAATCTGTTCACATATAATGAAAGTCATAGGGACCTGACAATTGTGTACATCCTTGGGACAGTCACAATATTAATCTAGCTATAAAAGGTCCGGTTTGCAACACGTCGTTGAGAGCAGTTTTGCTCTTTATTAATGAAACCTGGTCTCTGAGTTGGGGATAGGCAGCAAGTCTGTTTTTGATCATCATTGTTTCCGAAGGACTGTTGGCATTCAATGACTTTCAGTCAGTCAGTCAGCTACAACGTAGGACCAGGCACATGTATGCATCGGCCCAGGTTGCCATACCTCATTAGCACAGCAAGATGAACACTGGATTCATAGGAGTGGTTAGGTCAAAGGTGGTAATATATAGGAGAAAGATTGCAATAAGGATATAGTATAGGAAGAAAGAATTAGTTCGTAGAAAGAAAGATGTGAAGTGATCTTAATCTCTTAGTTTAAGAGAAGACAGAGAGTGTATACACCGACGCCATTGTGATCGATTCTGAGCCATGTCACCAAGGGTCTCCAACCATTGGTTACGAAAGTCACGCGGACCCCAACCAAGTAGTCTGCATCTACCAACATGGCTCAGACTAGAAGTTAGTGACTTCAGGCACTGATGCCACGTTTTGGTTTGGCCGCCCCTAACTTTCTTCCAACCATCCCCTACACCGGTTAGCATTGCACGTCGCGGTAATCGGTGTTCAGGCATACGTAATACGTGGCCCAACCATCTCAGTCGATGAAGATTCATAACCTCATAACTGATTTACCATCATTCCCTAATACCCTGCGTCTAACCTCACTATTACTTACCCGGTGATCCCAGCAGATGCCAGCAATATTTCTAAGGCATCTGTGGTCAAATACTAGTAGCTTACGGGTGTCTTCTACTCTTAAGGGCCATGTTTCGCTGCCGTAAATTAAAACAGAACGGACAGCCGCGCAGTATACTCGTCCTTTTATTGATAGACGGATATCTCGCCTCCGCCAAAGGTGACGTAAGTTGGCAAAAGCCAAACGAGCTTTACGAATCCGTGCTGAGATTTCGTCAGACACCAACCCATTAGGGCTGATCAGACTTCCAAGATAAGTGAAGTTGTCAACACGTTCGACTACTTCACCCTATCCTTAGTTCAGGTGTTGACGCAGACCAGTCCTGAAGCAACAACTTGCATTTAGAGGAGAGAAGCGCATCCCAAACATTCTGGCATTGTTGCTTAGTGCTACCAGAAGACTCTGCATTTTGTCAGCGTCTTCACCAAACAGGACTATGTATCTGCTATTCTAAGTCGATAAGTGGACCTCCTGGAAGGAGATCAATACCCGAGAATTCAGTCGACGAGAGTGTTATTTCCATCAATAGGTCTATGATCGGTAATCGGTGTTCAGGCATACGTAATACGTGGCCCAACCATCTCAGTCGATGAAGATTCATAACCTCATCAACTGATTTACCATCATTCCCTAATACCCTGCGTCTAACCTCACTATTACTTACCCGGTGATCCCAGCAGATGCCAGCAATATTTCTAAGGCATCTGTGGTCAAATACTAGTAGCTTACGGGTGTCTTCTACTCTTAAGGGCCATGTTTCGCTGCCGTAAATTAAAACAGAACGGACAGCCGCGCAGTATACTCGTCCTTTTATTGATAGACGGATATCTCGCCTCCGCCAAAGGTGACGTAAGTTGGCAAAAGCCAAACGAGCTTTACGAATCCGTGCTGAGATTTCGTCAGACACCAACCCATTAGGGCTGATCAGACTTCCAAGATAAGTGAAGTTGTCAACACGTTCGACTACTTCACTCCCTATCCTTAGTTCAGGTGTTGACGCAGACCAGTCCTGAAGCAACAACTTGCATTTAGAGGGAGAGAAGCGCATCCCAAACATTCTGGCATTGTTGCTTAGTGCTACCAGAAGACTCTGCATTTTGTCAGCGTCTTCACCAAACAGGACTATGTCATCTGCATATTCTAAGTCGATAAGTGGACCTCCTGGAAGGAGATCAATACCCGAGAATTCAGTCGACGAGAGTGTTATTTCCATCAATAGGTCTATGATGAAGTTAAACAAAAATGGAGAAAGTGGGCAGCCTTGACGGACACCACTTGAGGTTGTAAAGGTAGATGACAGTTCGCCATAAGCCCTGACTCGACTAGTAGTGTTCGAGTAAAGAGCCTTCACAAGGTTTATGTACTTCTGAGGTACGCCTTTCAATGACAGACACTGCCACAGAGTCTCGCGGTCTACAGAGTCAAATGCTGCTTTTAAGTCAAGAAAGACCACCATCGTCGGACGCCGATAGGTATGCCTGTGTTCTAGAACCTGACGAATGGTGAATATGTGGTCGATGCAGCCACGACCAGGTCTAAAGCCAGCTTGGTTCTCTCGTGTTTGTAGTTCACGAGTCTTAGTTAGGCGTTTGATAATTATCGAGGCCAGTATTTTAGATACTATGTTTGTTAAACTAATCCCTCTGTGGTTGTCACAGGATGATTTTGACCCTTTCTTATATATTGGGACGATAAGTGATTGCGACCAGTCAGATGGGATAACGTCTAACTCCCAGATTTTAGCCAAAATATTAGTCAACCTAGTCGCTAAAATTGGACCACCATCCTTAAAGACTTCTGGAGCCAGTCCATCTGGACCAGCTGCCCTTCCTCGTTTCAGATTAACTATAGCCTTCTCAACTTCAGCAAGAGTTGGGGGACCTACTTCAATGTTCCATTCACTTTGTCTGGGAATGGAGGGTAGTTGTAGAGTAGCTGAAGGCCAGCTGAACTGTTCTCTAAAATGTTCCGCCCATCGTTCTAAACGTCTGGACTGGGAGCAGATGAGAGTATCATCTTTTTCCGAAATAATCTCACTTACACTTGACTTATTAGTTCCAGTTTCTTTTATTAGTCTGTAAAGCTGTCTTGTGTTCCCTATAGTCGCCGCCTTTTCCATCTCTTTTGCTTTCGTTACCCACCACTGCTCACGGTCGTTCCTTAGACTTTTTCTTAACCTAGATCTGATTTGTTTACGCTCTTCATCATGTTCAGAACCTGATGGGACGAGTTTGCGAGAATCCATCAGTGTGACAGACCTTGAAGAAATCCACTGGTTCCTTGTAACTCTGTGGTTTAAGTCACTAACAGATGTCACTGCTGTTTCCACAGCTGCTTGTATGTCCTTCCAAGCAACATCTGGGTCAGCCTCGTCTTCACAACTAACTAAGTGTGACCTCAGTTGTTCCTGGAACCTACTTTTGGTTTTCTCGTTACTCAACTCAGTTCTAATGGGTCTTTTTAATGTGGCTTTTTTGCGTCCATTGAGGCGCAAGCAGATGCGTGCCCGTATTAGGGCATGGTCGGAGTCCAAGCAGGTGCTCCAGAATGAACGACAATCTTCTACCGACCCTCTCCAACGATGACTGATGGCAATATGGTCTATTTGATCATGCGTTACGAATATTATTGCAGGGGATTTCAAACGGGGTATTAGATGTCGACACTGGGTAGAAAATGAGGTGGTCATGACGACGTCGGTTTATCTAAACATCTGGTTGGTGTTCTAAAGATTGCGCAACTCAGCAGCTTGAGATGTTATCAGACGTAGAACAGATTGGAAGTCGATGATTGTTGAATCTACGTTTAGTTACAAGCGATTTTTGTCTTCAAATCTTAAGCAATTGTACCTAAGCTCTCAAGTAACTTGAAGAATATAGTAGTTCATGATCAAAGAAGTACATAAAATGTTATCAAAATACCAAGTGATATACCTGAATAACAAAGATGAATATCATGTTTGTGCCAAAAAGAACCTAACTTTATAGACTACAAGGATTGTTGCTCCTTTGACGTGAAATCCAATAGTCTCATAAAGAGCATGATAACATTCAGTAAATAAATCAGAACTTAAAGGTTAACATTTTAAACTTTAGTTCATTTGCGGAACGACACTGTTTACAGCTTTCTGGTTTTGTAAGATACTCTATCTGATGTTAGCAGGCAATGAAGACTATCGTTTATATAAACTAATATCCAAAAAATATTACTTACGCCTGTTACTCCCAATGGGGCAAAGGCGACCGAACAGCATTCTCCAACCCATTCCGTCCTGGGCTTTCCTTTCTAGTTCTTAATTCTTCTCATGTCTGTCTCCATTCTCAGCATAATGTGTTCTTTGGTCTTCCCCTCCTCGTTTGGCCTTGAGGATTCCATGTGAGGGCTTGCCTTGTGACACATTCGGGTGCTTTCTTCAACGTGTGTTTTATCCACTTCTAGCGCTTCTTCCTGATTTCTTTGTCCACTGGGATCTGGTTTGTTCTCTCCCACAGTAGGTTGTTGCTGATAGCGTCTGGTCAAGGGATCCGAAGTATTTTGCGTAGACAACTGTTAATAAACACTTGTATCTTCTGGATGATGGCTTTCGTAGTTCTCCAGGTTTTAGCCCCAGTAGACAGTAGAACTGTCTTGACATTTGTATTGAAAATTCTGACGCTGATGTTGGTTGAAAAATGTTTTGAGTTCTAGATTTTCTTCAGTTGTATATATGCTGTTTTTGCTTTGCCAATCCGCGCCTTCACATCTGTATCAGATTCATCGTGTTCATCAATGATGCTGCCCAGATATGTAAAGGTTTTTACATCTTCCAAAGCTTCTCCGTTAAGTGTGATTCCATTGTTGCATGCCGTGTTGTATCGAAGTTTCTTGCTTTTCCCTTTTCGAAAAAATATCAGGCTAAGTGATAATCCAGAGCCCATCAGTGATTAGTTTCAAGAATGATTCATATTCTAATAGAAAGTTATGACATGAAATTAACTGAGTAGGAATTGAGTAGATACTCTTACATGAAAGAAAACAGTGATCGCGCTATTTTGTGAATTTACTGAAATTGGAGAATACAAGGTGTTGGATTTCACCGACTTAATGAATGGCGTTAAACTTACTTCAAAACTTCAGGTTTATGGGTTTCATTCCATGCCTGTACAGTTATAAACAACCCCGAAAGTATGGTACGAATCTAGCCAACGTCACTCAAGCATTTATAAATCTAAGAGGCTAACCTGTTAAAGGTTCCAAAAATTTAGAATGTCTTATTACGAAACAGTTTAAGAATACATGTTTATTAGTTGTCAATTTCAGTTGGAAACGAAGTATTCTAATGGTTGACTTGAGATATGAGAAAAATATCTAATATTATCTTACACAATAATGAATATTTTCACAGATTGAAATCATGAGTCAGTTGAAGCTAGACCACCATTGAAAACCTGGAAGCACTGGACGGCCGTTTCGTCCTAGTATGGGACTCATGATTTCAATTGTGAAAATTTCTAAAAATCTCCACAAACCCCTTCTGACAATAATGAATAATTAAACCGTCCGAAGGATATATTTCACTCAACTGTTTTCAGCAATTATGTCTGGAAATATATTGAACTTATCGTTTTTAGATTATGCTGTAGATATCTACCAGACATCTCACTCAAGAGAGATTATTTGTTGTACTTTAGTAAAGTTTCGAAGTACAACTGAATTAGTCATAATTAAATGAACTAGGAGATTTGCAGCTGAAATAAGAACAGAAGTTAAGATAGGAATAAGGAACAGCAGTAAAGATGTTGCTCACTGATGTTTATGTCTAGAGGAATACCTTTTGAATTAAAACTTACCTCCGGATGAGCTTCTATTATATAATGTGAGTCAGGTGAATACTTTTGTATAGCCGTGTCAACAATCCCCAAACCAAATCCAATATTTAAAACTCGAATAGGTAAACTGATAGTACTATCTATTTCGTCTGCATGACAAATCCACGCTGCATGTTCTCCATTATTGGAGTTTCCCAATCCATCATTACAGCTAGATGAGTATTAGTGTCAATGAGACATTTTCTGTCATCAGAATACTCCAGTCGACTAGAAAGGTAAGAAGCGTTAAGGGCTTCTGAAGAGTTATTTGCACGTGTGTTTACAGTAGTAGTGAGATCCATAGAATCAACATTTTTCAAAGACTCTCCTGCATCTGACTTGTTTACTGCAATACACAAAAGTAACTCAGACATAACTGCATGATTCATCAGGATATCAATACAATCTTGCTGTTTATTTCTAGCGGCATAATCCCCGGCGCACAAATAGCTTCGATCAACTGCATTCCAGGGGGCACCTTCTGATAATAAATAGTTTACAATATCTGTGTGTCCAGCTCCTGCCGCAACCATTAAAACGCTCATTCCAGTTTTAAAATCCTGTGTAGAAAACGAAGGATAAGCAAATATTACAGTAATACGAGATTGCGCATACACCTGATGCTAAATGTGTATATTTAACTGGGATTATTAAGTACCTTGTCGAAACGAGTTCTAAGTAATCTTGCCTGTAATTTTCGAAGTGTATATTTTCAAGTACTCACGTCTGAACACACAAATTTTTAGTATTCTGATGGTGTTCTATAAAATCCGAAACTTTTAGTAAAGATATAAGTGTAGTACAAAGTCTTTAGGGATATTTGTTTTTAGTTCGATCTCAGTACCATGATTTGTTGTAATTATTATCACACCTTGGTACCTGAATGCTTTTTAAAAGCATCAAATCGTTATGAAACAGTCATGTCTTTTCCGCTGATCCGTCGTCTCCATAGTCTTTTAACATCATATAGCTGAAAGTGATTTTGGGCATAAGAATTGCAAAATATAGACTATTCAAACTTGTGCTAATTTATTTCGGTTTCTTAGTTACTCTGAAAATGTGGCTTACATCAAGTCACGAAACGTCAGGATACAAATGTTCTACTCATTGAAATACAACAAAAATACTTTTATCACTAACTTTCTACCTAAAGCTCAATTTATTTGAAACTGTCAAGTCGACCTTGACATTGATGCCTAGGAAATATAGACTATTTGAAACCATAACATGACTCCATGACACCACTTCTAACCTTACTAGTTAGCCTTGGTTGATCATATAGTAAAAGTGACTCAACAACTTCACTAAATTTAACTTCACAATGAAGTCAAAGGTCACAATATTTTATGAGCGTTCGTTAAGACATTTTTAAAACCTCACTGTTTATTTCCTACAGTACAAGACAATTTTCTAGTCATGTACTTCGTGTTTAATCGTACTAGTGACATTACAATCTTAGATATTTAAATTACTTGGAGTTCGGAAGCACTGAGCATTTCCTATGGCGAATAAAGTAATTAAACGACTTTCGTGTAAAACAAGTTAAAAGAAGACCAAAATTAAAACCGTTACGATCGCCCATACAGCTGAATATCGATCAGGAATATTTACGACAGTACATCAATAAATGTTGTGTCGTGACTTAGTGGTAAAAACATTCAGCTTTTAATACTACGTTTGTGTGTATAAAAGTTTCTCCACTTATAACGGTTTGGGCAACAAGTGTAATGAACTCCGTGGCATCATACTGATAGTTCGTGACAGAATCCATAGACATATTTTGACACTGGTTATCGTACACTTAACTTATATAGTGTACGAATCATCGTCTACAACATAAATTTCCCCTATTTTTTGATGGAAACAATCTCAACTTGTAACACTTATCAACACAAAGTTAAATGAACTTAGATTTTTCACTTAGTTTTGAATAATAAAATTTAGCTAATAAATAGCCAAAGTACATATTTTCCCAGTTTTACTTAGCTTTAAACTACGATTATCAATCACTAGCCAGTTTTAAATGTGCTAATAAGAGTAAGACTTAAAAAGAAACGTTCGCAGACCGAACCCGACGTTACCACAAGAAAAATAACGAAGATATCGATGTAAGCAAAATTTAATGAGGGTGATACTCATAGGAAAAGGACTGTAACAAACCTGGTAACATATATCTGCATCTTCATCCTCTACCAATCGCTTGACTTCTTCAAAATTGCCGTCGTGGCATGCGATAACAAGCGCAATATCTACTTGCCGTGGTTGGACCTCGTACATTTTTTTGAACAAATATGTGAGTATATGGGAAAAAACTGAAGTTTTGCTATTTCTTAAAACGGAAATAGATTAAAGAAGTCTGTAAGGAAAATAAACCAAAATATCGTAGAATATACCTTGGAAATCAAAACTTTTTTATTAGATAGTAACAAAAAAGAATACAATAAGCTAAATCTTAAATTACATTTGCAAAGAACTAAACGAGTGAAATCAAAGTTTGGATGTTGTGACTAACATCTCTACGATAATCAAACCAGATTGAGGGATGAATACTGAAACCACTTGATTCCAATCGCTAAGCTTTTTATAAATAGAATTTTAAATCTATTTTCAACAAACTAGATGTTCAGTTTTTTTTTAAACCACCGGTCCAAACCATATACGAAGTCCAAATAGAACAATCTAGTATTCAACAATACTCGTCAGAGGAAAAATCTTACAAAACAGGTAAAAAAAACTGTTGTGAATAATGTAGGTCTAGCACAATTAGATAACAACAAAGAATGTAAGCAGTTCCATTTAAGAGTACTTACCGTAGACGATTCGCATTCAGCCTAAATACCGATCGAACTTAGTGTTTTAGTAATGAATCCTCAAAAGCTATAGCTTGACTTTTTTTCTGACAGACGAAGGTTAATTATAATTCCTTAACATTTGACAGCTTACTGCTGATCATTAAGTTTTTATTTTACATCTAGTACGTATGTTTTTGTTTTGTACTGTCTTGAAATGTAGTATTTTAAGCAGATGCAAGTTGGTGGGCTTGTTTGTTTCACCTTGATTAACTATATTGGAAAAGGAGCAAATGGGTGTACTTACTAAGACAGCAGAATGTGTTCTACTGAGGTATACACCAAGTAATAAATGTATTTTGACGCATCTAAAAACTGATTGCGCAGTAAAATAAATTTGACCATAAGTGTTTACGTTAGTTTTTGCTCAGCATATGCGTTTGAGAATACCAAAAATATCTTTAAAGAGCTTGATTAAGTTTGGTACACAAATTTCAAAAATAATACGAAAACTTATTTGACACTGTGAATTTAATGAGAAAATGAAAAAGTGGACTGGACATTCAGAAACCAACAAAGCTACTTAGCAAACCAACAGCTCGCAGGATGTTAATCGATTAGGACTTTGATCCTAAAACGTACACTCGCCAGATTAGAAAAACAATCCTTACAATTCAAATAAAATCCCACATGACCAAATACCCAGTGGGTCATGTATAACCCTTCCATATATAGTATATTAATTAAATAATGCATTCATATCAATTGACTGAAAACGTCAACAAATGTTTAGAATTTATACCTCAATATAATTTATTATTATCTAAACACATAAACATGTATATACGCTACACAAGTCGTTCGATTTGTGTGAGGACTCGAATACTGGCAGCGCCGCCAAACCAAATCAAGTGGTTTTATCAGGAGGCCACACCATGAGCAATACTCAAGGCTACATTCAGAAGTTTAATCATGTTAATGGTATAGTGAAACGCACCTTGCTTTTTTAACAGCTTAACAGACACTCTTCATGACTAATTTTTTTTACCTCATTTTATGAAATACTATTCATGCGCCTAGTAGCAAATCAGACGAAACCATTTTACATAACTCGAGAAGAGAGCGCAAGTATTCAGATAACTACTATTTTCAAAATATTTGAAGGTATTGAGATACATCCAGTCAACCTCTAAATGTGTTAACATCAGCCTAATGCTCTGTAAAATGACAAAATATTGTCGTGAGCATTCAAGTACTTGCTTTTCATGACCTTAACGGGCAATTATAATTCACTACTTGTACCGGTAATCAGAGAAACATTACGCCATATACCCTTAGATTAGAAAAAAAGTGGTCAAATGGAATTCGGCGGCTGTTGGATGAAAAAAGCCAACTGACTGGTTCTCCCACGACGGTGAAGTTCGTTTTAATAAAAGATTTAGCCAGTTTAAAAAACTAATTTCTCAAATTCGAATTACTCGTACCGCCTCCAAAATTCAAAAAATACTAATCCTTTCAAGTTTTTGACTAAACCTTGAAATCACTATGTTATTCTGAACATATCGACTATAAACAGGAAGATTTTAAATATATTTCTGGTTGTACTTAAACACTCGGAGTATGTAGCGAGACCCTTGAAAGTCCCAGCCACGAGTAAACTCAAAAGGTGCGCCCCACGAGGTTATTTGGCTAGGTCAGCTTCAATACTTCAACCAACACATCGCCAATTTTTGAAAGGACAACGACCCAAATGCATTGTGTTGGTCGTAACAGTGATTGTCTCTCGATCGTTCTAACGTGTTTTTAATGTACTGAGAGACAGAGCGTAAATTTTAGTGGCCCGTTTGATCTGACTTCTATTAAGATCGTACGAATGTTTGCTATCACCTATTCTCGTATATAATCATCGACTTAATAGCGTTAGCCAATAATGGAATTAAATAAGTCGAATAACGAGAATTGATTTGTGAATACATATATTTTGTATATGAAGTGAATGAAACAGAGCCAAGCAAAATGACTCACAGGGAGGATGGCTGGGAAGCCAACTCCATTTTAATTAAGCGTTACTCAATATTTATAGGCAGACAAAATAAACTACAGACATGTGATGAATCATGGGACATGAAGTGTACACACATATACGTTCATATAAAAAACAATCTAGATTGATAAGCGAATAATTAACAAGGTCAAAATATGACTCAAGTAGAATGAATAGAATGGTTCGTCCAAAAACTAGAATAAGGTATATGGGCTTAAAATAATGACTGACACTACCCAATCACGTATCGAGTTAATAAATTTCATTTGTTTGTCATTCTATGGGAAAGTTCATAAATGGTTTCAAATGTTTCTGAACGGAATAGAAGGAGCTTTCACCCAACGGACTTCTGTATCTAGTGGCAGTGTATCACTGATGCCTCCAAGTAATAACCTAGGTATATTTAGCGATAAAAGAGAAAAAAATATTAATTTGTATGGACTTACTGTTGTAGCGGTAAATAAATCCCTAAAATAAATAGCTCTGTAAGTTTCCGACATTGGATGCTGATCACATTAGTTTTAATGGACTCACCTAGCTGGGGGCTCTCGGTCATACATCCATACCAGATCACGAGTGGGAACACCGTGCTCAACATCCCCTGCAATCGCTAGTCATTCTGGATCAGTCGATTCTCGATATATTGATAGCCTATCAAATATATCTTCGAACATCCTCGCTTCTGTCTTTTGATTTTACTTGGTGGGTACGATTTATATAAGGTTTTGCTGGTTGAAGCGTTGTCAAACTCCGAATACCTGTGGCAACTTCACTGTCCTCAGTCTTCAACAACATGTCTCCAATATTTGGCCACTTCTAGAGAGTAGAAGGTGCGTCTACTATCCCATCTACTATGTTGTGTCGATAGTTTCAGGGTTTTACCGTCAAGTTTTGAGTTGAGACTGGGCTTAGGTAGGTGTTTTTTGGAGATTTTTAGAAGTGTTTAGGATTCTATAAGTCGTTTTAGGGTAACCTCAGATACTCTTACACTTTGATGAATGAAGATCCAGAGATTTAAAGGGTTCGTCAACTTGAGACACCCCTATAAAGGAGTCACCGAAGTCTGCAGCATGTCTTAGATGGATTAGTTTACATTCTGAAGTGTTAATGGTAAGTTCTCTGTTGTCTGAACAACAACAGATCCACCTGAATTTCCGATTACCTTCTCGGCTGCAAACGACTCTCCGGGGTTTCACATCATCAGAGAAAAGAAATAACTCTGACGACGCCTGTTGTGTAAGATCGTCTATATGAATTAAGAAAGGAAGAGATCCTAGTACTGAACCCTAGGGGACCTCATTATAACACTCCATAGCCCGAGAAAAATCGAAGTTAACCTTGCCTTAAAGTGTAGATTTTTTGGATGTGAAGTGAGTTAATCAATTTGTGGAGACTTGATACACAATTGTTTCAGTTTGGTGACAGGACATTCATAATTGGCTCTATCAAAACTTCCAAGAAGTAAAGGCATATGACGTTAACCTTCCCCCTTGCGATCAAGGATGGTTGTCCATCTGTCCACCACGGTAAGCAAGTTAGTTATGCAAAGCTGAGAAACTCTGGATTTGGCTTGTCGAAGAGAGGATGAATGACAGAATAGGCTTTTTGAATTGGGGATAAATTTGTCGATGAGCTTTATCTGGTACTGAAGCCTGTCTTCTCTCATTGCCTCCATGAGTTGATTCATTGCTTGTTTGAATTGCCTGTATGGGTTGTTGTTGCCAGCTTGTTTATATACCGCCCAGTAGTGCCTTTGACACTTGGTAAATGAAGGGTGCCATTCTTCATCACTGTAGGTTGCTCTTGATATTTGATGACCGTTTTCAGGACAGACTGCTTTGAAGCACATAGGATCATGTGCAGTAAAAAAATCCTAATGAGCATCCACATCAAGTTGATGGGGAGCTTCCCAGTCAACCTGCTGTATATTTTCCTACAAAGATGACACACACAGCCATCTAAAATTCCAGTTATTATTGCTGGTAGGATGTCTTAGTTCAGTTTTGTTGATGAAATTAGAGACCATGACCGCATGACCACTTTTACCCAGGGGAACCAAGGGCGAGAGGTTGTAAACTGGGAATTCTTCGTTTGCATATACTCATTCTAAGCACGACGGCGTTTGTCTATTTCTCCGACGAGTTGTTGACTCGACATTTACGACTAATCCCATATCTTCAGTGAGGTTGGAGAACCGAGATTCAGCACACTTGTCACCTCCAATATACGTATGTTCAGCGAAGTTGACTTTAGGAAGGCTAAAGTCTCCTAGTATCAGGATTTGAGTGTATCCGAGTCGAGTAGAACGGGACAATCCTTCCAGTATACGATTGTCGAACTCGGTGTCAACAATGGGCTTCCCATAGATAACCCCAACTGAAAACCACGAGGTGTTATACAATCTTACTGAACACTATAAAGATTCATCAAGGTTGACAAATTAG